TAAAGCTGTTTAAAACCATGTGAGCCATGTTTCAACACTTCCTCCACTGACTTTGGGACTTTGGTAAGGAATTAACATAAAGCACATTTCCCAGGTGACAAAAAGAAAAACAAGATTTGGTTTCCGCGTCGAGTCTCCTCGATTGTCTGCATGACCCACGGGGCCAGCTCTCCCTGGGGTGAGGTTTCGGTCCAGGCCCTGGGCACAGGCTGCCCATCCTCAGGGGCCCCGGTGCAGGGACCCGGCCCAGCAGCCTGCGTCCAGCAAACCAGGAAGGATGCTTCATCTGGGACCAGGAAGCAGGCGAGGACCCGGGTGTGCTCCGTTTACAAAACAATCTCTAAGCTAAGTGGGATCCCAGACTCCCGGCAGAAGGCAAACATTTTACATGAAAAGGAAGAAAAGCTCTTACAGTGAATTAAGGAAATGGAGGAATTTACACTTGATCCAGAAGAGCTATATGTTTGAGAAGGTGAAAATAAAACAGGAAATTCCATTTAAAACAAGTCAAACAATGTACGTTGCCTACAGAAGGCCGGTGCTGGCCGGATGCCTCCTTGACCTCCAGAAGCAGAACAGCTGACGACAGCTTGTGCAGACCAGATGGGGTGTGTGTGTTTATATGTGTAAGTCTGTGGGTGGGTGTGAGTGTATGTGCCTGTGTGTTTACATGTGTGTGTATGCGTGTGCACGTGAGTGTATATGCCAGTGTCTCTGTGTTTATATGTGCATGCATGTGTGTGTGTGAGAGAGTCTATACCTGGCCTGGGCCCAGTTGGGCGGTGGCCGTCATGTTCCTGGCAGCCTTCCCAGTCCAGCAGCAGAGGTCGGCTTGTCTGGCAGCTGTGCTGGCTCAGGACTGACCTTCTGAGTAGCTGGGACGACCTTTTCCCCAAGTGATCTGCACGAGAGGTCCAGTTGCAGGACCCCAGTCCTCAAAAGCACCCCCCTTTCCCCTTCTGGGGTACCTGCTGAGTCCTGGTTACCCGCATCCTTGGAGTAAGGCATTGCTGTCTCTGGGGCTTAGCACAGGCGAGATAACCCTGCCACCTCCGTGAGAGCATAGAGGCTGTGGAGATTGGGAGGTGGCAGCCAGAAGCACCAGGAGAGGACCAGCCCAAAGCGAGGTGGAGTTCAAGGAGGTCGAGAGCCCTTCTGAATCGTGGCCACCTCCTGGGGGTGTGAACCTACTGGTCACATTCCTGATGGGAGGCAGGCAGCCAGGAGGAAGTGGGGAAGCAGGGGGCTGGCGGGAGCAGAAGCTCCAGAGTGAGGCCATGGGGGACCCACTGTCAAGCCCACAGTTCCTAGGCTGTTCCCTCCTCCCTCCTCACTCCTGAGAGAGGTCAGCTTCTTCCATCCCATTCCTAAATCCTGGGTCTTGGTGCTAGAAATGAGCACAACTAGTAAAAACACCAGTAATTTCGACCTATGCAGCGAGCCTGGGCTCGAGTAACCATGTGAATTTGCAGGGTTTCTGTGGCTTCCCCAATGGCCCTGCAGGGAGATGCCTCCCCACCGATGAGCGAGCCAGTTCTGGAGGATTCTGGGGCTGAGACAGGCCAGGGGAGAAGGTCCTATGGGCTGCATCCTTTAATGGTCCTTACTTCACATGGCACTTGAAGCAAAATAAAAACTCTTCTGGGTCTGATTGTTGTTTCCACGGCTAGACTTTGGAGGCCACCCAAGTTGAGGTCAACATAGCTCTTCAGAGGGTTTTTGAAAAATTCCTTCTTGGGCTCTTCAACTTGCCTGTTTGCAAGTAACAATGGGCTCTGGAGCTGGCTTCCATATGGGCAGAGGGCACTGCTGCTCTGGGCATTTGCATGCCTGGGGGTGGTTGTAACTTTCCCCTCCGTAAATGTAGACGGGGACTTGTCAGCAAAGGTTGTTCATCTTCTGTGTTCGTTGGCCGAGCCCCTTCCTACGTCTGGAGAGCTCCCTGCTCTGCGGGGCTTGGTGGGAAGCTGAGCTCGCTTCCCACTGCAATAGACGGAAGCACCAGTCGCTCACTGTACAGGCCTCCACTGCGCCCTCCTCCCAAAGATGTGCTCACATCCTACGTCCTGGAACCTGTGAGTGGGATCTCATTTAGAAAAAGGTTCTTGGCAGATTTCTTGAGATGAGATCCTGGATTAGGGTGGGTTCTAAATTCAAAGACAGGTGTCCGTATAAGAGACAGGCAGAGGGGACTTGAGCCACAGAGACACAGGGGATGGGGGTCTTGTGAAGACAGTTTGGAGTGATTTGGCCACAAGCCAAGGATGGCTGGCAGCCACTGGAAGTTAGAAGGAGCCTGGAACATGTTCTCCCTCAGCCCCGAGAAGGAATCAACCCTGAAGACTCCTTGATCTTGGGCTTCTGGCCTCCAGAACTGTGGGAGAATTCATTTCTGTTGTTTCAAGCCTCCCAGTCTGTGGTACTTTGTCATGACAGCCACAGGATACTAATGCACGTTGTCTGGCCTCTCCAGCAGCGAGGGTCCCCCTCTGTCCAGACTTTGAATCTGTAGTCAATACATGGAGATGCAGCCTGACGTCTGCAGCAGTGGCCACGGGAGCTGTGGGTGGCCGAGAACAGAGCGCCAGGTGCTGGGGCAGGAACCGTGCATACTGGGCTCCGTATGGTAGCTCAACAGCTCCACACAGTCCGCTCTGCTGGGATTTGGGGCATCCTTCCTGCTGCACAGCTGAGCCCTACTCCTGAGCCCTCCTGGGGATCATGGGAGCTCCCCAAAAGCCTTTTGAAAAAGCCCCCTTTGTGGTCAATGGAGCCACAACCAGTGTCTGGGGCCACAGCTGCAAGCCCGCTGCCTGCGGCCTGCTTCGAGCCTTCATTCTCAGGCCCCCAGCCAGGAGTGGAGGAAGGTGACACGTCACAGGAGGGCCCGCAGCGGCAGTGAGAGCAGCCCGGCCAGGACCCTGGGGCTGGTCTCAGGTTTATTTACTTTTCTACTTTGCTGAGTGAACTTGAGCAAATCACTTATCTCGTTGTGGCTTCTCCACCATCAGTGGGGAAAATGAAACTGTTCTGAAGTTCGAGTGGCGGAAAGAATTTAAAAAAACGTCAACGCGCTTCGCAAAGTCTGACCGTGTGAATCATGTTTCACATTACTCAGGTGAATTTGTTTTGCCGTGATCCTGAATTTTTCTTGGAAACACCCCAGCAATTCACACAAGATAAAAAAAAGGTGACACCCAAGGAAGTCCTACGAATGTGAATCAGCCGGGCAGTGAGTGGTGACGCCACAGCCCCGAGGGCCTCAGGCCTGGGCGCTGTTTAGTCTTCCCTGGAGTTAATAAATATGGTGCCTTGAGCCGCTGCTCTTGGCTTGGACTTGGACAAAGAGCCTCCGCCTCGGGAGCTGGACGGGAGTGCGGTTCCAGCCCAGCTCCTTATTCACACAGAGCACGGGTGACCTGAAGCTGTTAGCCGTTTGGTCACTGGCTCAGGACTTGAATAGACTCTCCTTGCTTCCAGCAGGCTTTCTGCTTTGCTTTGTGGTGACAGGGAACTGAGAGGTAATGATAGTGGACATATTCCCCCCAAACCATGAAACCACCGAGTGGGGGCCACGTATCCTCATTTATGTAAAAAGAGACACACAGGTATTTAGCGGAAGCTCCTGCCCAGGGAAGTGTAAACAGAGGCCGGCCTTCTTCTTTCCTTCCTCCCTCCCCACTCTTTCTTTCTTATTTGGTTAATCCTTAGTTGAGGATATTTTTCCCATTGGTTTTTAGAGAGAGTGGAAGGGAGGGAGAAAGAGAGAGAGAAAGAGAGACATTGATGTGAGAGAGACACATCGATTGGTTGCTTCCCGCACTCGCCCTGACCGGGGCCAGGGATCAAACCTGCAACTTGGGTGCGTGCCCTTGACCGGGAATCAAACCCGAGACCCTCTGGCGCTCGGGCTGGGCTCTAACCACTGCGCACACTGGCCAGGGCCGGAAGGGAAGCTTTCTTTACCTGCTGTTACTGTACCACGTGACATGTTATCCTGTACTTGTTACTCTTAAAGTGGTCAGGCTGGCCACTGGTCTAGCCTCGGTTAACGTTAACTTTTAGGAATTGCACAAAGAAGACACATCATGCTTCCCTTCAGCTCTCACCACGGGTTTAGGAGGTGAAGTTAAACAGAGCTTAAGAGACGCAAGCGGAAAGGACACGGCAGCTGCACTCACATTCCACACGCTTCTCGAGCACTGCCAAGTGATTCGCGACCTCAGCTTTGAGCTCGTTGATTTTAAAGGCTCTAGGGATGGAGAAAAGAGAAGACAAGACATGAGTCATAGATTCTCAAAGTTAAAATGGGTCCAGCAAACAGCTTCTGAATCACTGGCGGGGGGAGGGGTGCAGGTGGGCAGGCGAGGGGCGGCCACAAAGGCGCTAGGAGTTGCTTTTAAGAACTAGCGCTGTCTGGGGGTGGAGGGGAGGAAAGAGAGACACCCTAGGATGATCTGGAGGGTGTATTTCCCAAGTGGGAACACAAAGCGGTTCCATGCTGGTCGGAGCGCTCCCTTCCCTTACCTGGTGCTCTGCTCTCAGCTGCTTTGCCCTGCCCCCCTTCCCTTGGGCACAGACCACCTTCAGGGGACCCAGTGTGTCTTCTCTAGGCTCCAACCCAGTCAGTCAAACAATTCTTGGGCTTTAAGAAAGTACCACCCATATGCCTCTCCCCATCTGAACTCCCCTGGGGCAGGGAGATGTCACAGTGAAATATCTGAGGAACCGCGAGTATGGACTCCAGGACTGGCAGATGGCCCAGAATGAAGAGGTCCCGCGTCCACACGGGATCTCCGAGAGAAAGCCTGTTTCAAAAATGGTCTCAGTGCCTGTAGCCTGAACTCTGAGTCTCAGAAGAGCTAGTTGAGAAAAATCTTCACAACATGGGCTCTCATTCTAAAAAAGTGCCCACCCCAGGGCCTTTGAAGTAAGGTCTTTGATATGAGTGTTTCCTGGCCCCCACCACCTGGCTGACAGCCTCCACCCCTGCCACTGAGAGAGTGGGGATTTGAAGAGTCCGTACCTTGAGAACTGCTCTGCAACCTGGGTCAGCACACTCTGGATCAATTCTTCTTTTTCTACAGACCAAAAAGAAAAACAGATGGGAAAGGGACAGGTCTGCGGACCAGCACGGCCTGAATCCACCTGCTGCGGGCACGAGGCACTGGCACCACAGTGAGCAGCTGTCACCTTACCTGGAGGAAAGCTCTGGCCCCATCCGCACTCCAGGACCTCTCCTGTCCACCTGCAAATGCTCTCTCCCTCCTGGACTGCTCCAGCCACTGACCTGTCTTTTAATGCCTCTTGGCAGAGTGGCCAGGGCTGTGGCCCTCCCATCATCGGCACCAGCTGTAAAAGGCTGGCAGGACTGACTCTCTAAATAGGGGATGTTTTCTCCGGAGTGCCCTGGCTCATTTTATGAGGGCAATTACCATAACAGAGCGAGTTCAAGGCATATTTCAAGTGCAAAACACGGTGTTCTCTGCGGGTCCAGAGAGCGGAAGCAGGCGAAAGTCTGTCCCTTTGTTCCTGGCACGCAAAACCAGCTGGGCAATTGGTTTTACAAGCCTCTGGTCCCGGGCTGAATATAAGCTGCCTGGTTTCCTGTTTCCTGACGGGCCCAGTGCTGGATTCCTCAAGGGAAAGTGTAGATAAATGCCCATAGACCTGTCTGTCCCAGCAAGTCTCTGCACTTGGACGGGGAGTGATCCCTTCTTGACTCCAGCTGGCTATCAGTTCATGCCCAAAACACTGAGAGCCTAAGCGAGGCTTAGTCCGACTTCATGTAATCTGTGTTGATTCTATGCCTAACCCTTCACTAAAACCAAAAGAAACCTGCCCAAGCAAACAAAAAATCCCACTAATCCAACTGGGGCTCAGAAGCTGGAAATGTTCATATGCTCTAAGTGTCTCCATTTCCAGGAAATACTCATGTCTGAGCACAGAGCTGTCCATTAGTGTTATTTCATGTAATGAAAATGTAGCCACTTATATTATACGCCCACCGAATGGACGTTAAGTGAATGATGACATGCCTGAACTGCGCAATCATATTCTGCTATTAAAAATAACATCTTGGAAAATGTTCATGTCTATTGTTAAAGAAAACAAAAAAACAACAAAAAAGGTGGTAAAACAGTGTGATCCCATTTTTGGAAACACTGGGAGGAAACACTCCAAAATAATAATAGTAGTTATTTTTTTGGTTGTAAGATTATATGTAAATTTTATTTTCTTATTTTTGCTTCTCTGTATCATATACATTTCTATAATAAGCATATGCTAATTTCATTGAAAATTAAAAAATTAATCAATCTAAATTAACCTCTGAGGACTCATCCCGTCACGTGCTGAGTGAAAGGGGAGGCCAGGGGACCCTAGATTCCATCTGGCTTAAGTGTTCTATGACTTGATAGAAGAAGAACGATATTTTGTTATACCTCTGGAAACTCTAAGAGTAAAAATGTCAACCAGGAAACTTTCACAGAGCCGTGTGCTGAGCTGCGGGCGGATCCAAGGCCCCACGCTTCCGAGAGGCTCACATCTACCAGGGAAGAAGGCTGGTGACTCCGTTGATGAGAACCACCAGTGAGAAGGCTTCACGGGCTTCCTTGGTGAATCAGGATTTCAGATCACTTATTCTGAAATCTTTGCCAAAAGTAATATATCTCATAACCTCCAAGAGTTAATGATCTCAAAGTCTTGAGATAAATTTAGAAAGCCATTAAACAATTGATATTTATAGACTACTCCACCTAACAGTGGAACACACGTTCATCTCGGGTGCCTGTGAAGTGTGTCCTGCGATAGACTACATCCTGGACCATAAAGAAAACCTCAACCAATGTAAAAGACCGAAACCATGTAGAGTATGTTCCCTGGCCACAAGAGAATGAAACAGAAATCAGGAACAGAAACATAGCAGGAAACCCCCCAAACCCTTGGAAACTAAACAGCACACATCTAAGTAATCCATGGATCAAAGAGGAAGTCGCTGGGGAAATTTAAAAAGGCATCAAACCAAATGAAAATGAAAATATAACATAGAAATTTAGCCATGAGCCAGAGCCAGAGCGATGCCGAGAGGGATGTTTGCAGCACCAAGTGCTCGCATTAGCAAGGAGGAAACACCTCCACTCAGTAACCTGAGAGCCCAGAAAAGGAAGAGCAAAATAAATCCACAACAATAGCAGAAGGAAGGAAACAATAAAGAGCAGAAATCAGTGAAATGGAAAACAGAAAAACAATGTAGAAAATCAAAGAAAGGAACAGCTGGTTATTTAAAAATATCAACAAATTGACAAACCTCTAGGAAGACTGACAGAGAAACAGAGAAGACACAGATCAGCAAAGTCAGAAGGAGAAAGGGAAGGTCAGCCCAGACCCTCCAGGCATTGTAAGGATTGTAAGGGAACACTATGGACACGTTCATGCACAGAAATTTACATCTCCGGGGAAAATGGACCGATTCCTGGAAAAGCATGATCCACTGCACCCATCCAATATGAAACAGGTAATCTGAACAGCCTATAACTATTAAGGAAAACAAATTCTGAATTTAAAATCTCTCCCAAAAGAAATTTCCAGGTGCAGATGGTTTCACTAGAGAATGCCACCAAACATCTGAAGAATTAACATGAATCTAAACAACTCCTTCCAGAAAACGGGAAAGGAGGGAACATTTCCTGATTCATTTTACGAAGCTAGTATTAACACCATATCCAGACACAGACAACCAAAAAAGATAACTACGGGCCAACATCCCTCGTGAATACCGATGCAAAAGCCCTTTAAAATATTAGCAAATAGAACTCAGCAACAGATAAAAATAAGTATACACTGAGGTCAAGTGGGGTGTATTTCAGGGATGCAAGGCTGGTTCAATATTCAAAAGTCATCAATGTAATCTATTAACAGGCTAAAGAAGAACAAGATCATATGATCCTATCAATTATTTCATTAAAAGCACTTGAAGAAATTCAGCACCTGTTCATGGTAAAACCCTCGGAAAAACAGTTGATGAAAAATCCACAAAAACGCTACAGCTAACGTGATACTTAACAGTGAAAGCCAATGCTCCTTGTCTGAGATTGAGACAAAGCACGGACCTGCTCTCGCTGCTCCATCCAGCACAGGGCTGGCAGGCCCAGCCTGAGCGACGAGGCAAGAAAAGGCATGCCCATCAGACAGGAAGAGATAAAACTGTCCCTGCTTGCCGATGACCTAATTGTCTACATAGAAAATTCCGAGGGATCTCCAAAACACCTGCTCAGGACTAATAAGCCAGTTCAGCAAGGTATACAAGATACACACATGCAATCAGCTGTATTTACATATATGAGCAATGGCCATAAAGACACTGAAGTGAAAGCACAATGCCATTTACAAACACTTAAAAAAAACTTAGGTGCAACGAGAACACAGAATACGCAGAAGATGTGAGCTAAAAACTGCAAAATGCCCATGAAAGAAATCCGAGAAGCTATAAATAAACGGGGAGACCTACCTGGAAGCTTCAACGTAGTGAAGATGTCAGTCCTCCTCAAACTGACAGGCAGGTTTAACACAATTTCCATCAAAACCCCAGCAGGATTTTTTTTGTAGAAACAGACAAGGTTTTCTAACATTTATACGGAAATAAAAAGGAACTAGAATAGCTAAAACAATTTTGAAAGAGAAAACAACATGGGAGGAGTTGCCAATCTAATGTTAAGGCCTATTACACAGCTACAACAATCAAGACTGTGCGATACTAGAAAGGATACCAGGGGACAGGCATGGAGATCAATGGAGCAGAACAGAGAACCCAGGGTCGCACCCACACAAATATGCACAACTGATTTTTGACCAACACGCAGAAGCAGCTCAGTGGAGGAAGGAGTCTTTCCAACCGGCTGACGCAATTGACACTCACAGGCAGAAAAACGAGCCTTGCGGTTTATATAAAAATTAATGCGAAATGGACCACAGGCGTAAAATATAAAACTATAGCGCTTTTAGAAAAAGGTAGGGGGAAATCTTCAGGATCTTGGGCTGGGCAGGGCGTCCTTAGACGTCTTAGACTTGACGCCCCGCCCGCAGAAGGAAACACCGCTAAGTGGGACTTGGTCAAAATGGAAACGTCTGTTCTGAGAAAGACGGTGCTGGGAGCAGGAAGAAACAAGCTCCCGCCCCGGGGAAAGTATTCGCGGACCTCGCATCTCACAAGGACTTGAATCTAGAACATGAAGACAACTGTCGGA